CTCAAAGTGTTGCAACTTAAGTTGCAACTAGTTAAAAATTTTAAAAATAATTATGGGAACCATCTTTAATTTAGATAATAAGATATTTAACCTAAATATTAACTGTTATTAACTGTTTAAATATATAAATAATATTTATATTTTCATATTTCTTATTTTTAGATTTTATTCAAAGTATAATCCTTTTTAGCTTTATATTTAATCTTTATTAATATCTAATTACAATGTATTAATAATACTCTTTAATTTTATATAGCTTTTGAAATTCATTTTTAACTTTACAATAACATAAAATATGATTTATTTATCTTAATAAAATGGTACATTTAGAATGATCAGATTTTTATAGTAATTCTTTTTTCTTTTCTTATTATTAAAGGGTGATAGGTTAAATTTGATTCTAGGAAATATAGAATTAGATAGTTTTCTGTTTTTGATTGAAATTTTTGTATTTTCTTAATTTTTGTATAATAAATTCACAATTCAAATAATGATTATCTTTAAGTCTTTATAATAATATGGATAAAAATTTCATTAAAGTATATCAAATAATCTAAATATCATAATAATTGTAATTTATTTCATTAATTTTTAAAAAACTTGTTTATGTTTACGTGAAATATTTACACTAAAAAAAAAAAATTTTTTTCAAATACGTGAAAATTATAAAGGGAAAAGGTTATCCTATTAAGAATCCTTGCGAATTAACATTAACCCATCGAAACCGGGCACCAATAGATTTGTAGTTCTTGGATCTTTTGTAACGTGTTCATTAAACCTGTGTAAATTCTTTGCATTATCATAAAGACCTTTCGGAATATGATTTTCACTTGTTTCTGGTGCATTCGGATCATAATTAGGTACTTTTTGCACACATCCATAAAAAAGCGCTTTTTTAAACAATTTTTTTTACACAAAATGCGAGAATTAATATATTTTTTTTACTTTTCTTTGAAATAAACTAAAATCAATAAATTAATTATATACCATTATCGGCTACGATAATCCCTCTGTTAGAGAGGAGGTCACGTTCGAGAATTGTTTCGTAATAATTGACGTATCCTGATTTGTTCGCATCTAAATATTTATGTTTTGTTCTAAATTATTGAACCCTTGTAAAAAAAAGGAAAAAAAAAATTTTGTCCTACCAATAAAGATCAAGTCAAAATGCGTGGATTTTTCAAAGCTTTGTAACCTTTTTTTTTAAAAAAAAAAATCACATTATCTACCCGAATCAAGATCAAACAATATATATATATAAAAAATAGATACTAACGTATTCAAACCATCACCAATCCTAATCTCAACAAGGTCATCCATTCCGGTTTCTTTTACATTCTGTAAAGCAACTTTGGCAAACCCTTCATCCTTTTCACAACTAATAACCCTTCCTTTATTACCTTTAATACCTTCAGCTAAACATAATGCTGAATAACCTGTAAAACAACCTAATTCTAATACTTTACTTGCGTTCATTACTTTACAAAGCATAGTTAATAAAGATCCTTGTAATTGTGATACCATCATATGCCCGTCTGCGGGATATTCTTTATGAGTTCTTTCATAAACTGTTTGTAAATAAGGAGGTTGTGGTGTTGAATGTGCAATGGCATAAGTGCCCGATTCCTTAAGTAGGAATGCATCGGATGAATAACGTTTTGGACTACTGTGAAAAAATAATTGTTGCGATAATTTGAAATGAGAATTCTGCGAACGCAAAATAATTCGAGAACGTGAAAAGAAAGTATTTAATGACATTTTTTCATATATACAGTAATAGACCTGAATTATCAAATCGTATTTTATTTAGAAAAAAAGGTACTAGTGTTTATTTAAACGAAATAAAAAATTTATTATTTTTTTTTTTTTTTAAAAAACGTGTTACATTCATGTTCTTTGATTTGTAAGATGTTCTACTTGTCAATGATCTTCTACTTATGTAATGAATAAATAAACGTGACCTTTAAATATTATTTAAAATCTCAATAAAACATAAAATATTTTTGATTATAAATAAAAAACAAATAATTATTATTTAATATCCTATTAGCGGTAACGACATCAATCCATAACCAACTGTAACAATGGTAATCAGCGCAAGAATAGATGCTGGAACTCCAATTTTTATAAAATCAATTGTGGTTAAATATCGAACACCCATCTCGTCTTCCATCATGATTGCATTCATATTAGGGAAACCCGAGATCGGCAAACCCATGGCTGACGAGCACATCAACACCGATCCCTATAAGATGAAAACAAATAAATACCTTAATTAACATTTTCTTCGGTTATGATAATTAAGAAAACCCAAGAATAGAAATAATACAAACCATAACCAATAGATTTGGATGTGGATCACTTAATTTTACACCAATTTCAAAAACGATGGGTAATATAATCAAAGCTCCAACGGTATGGCTAATGAATGTTGCTACCACGAGTACAAGTGATGAGAAAATTACCAAGACTTGCCATGGGTGTAAATCACCAACCATTGACTGTATACTTTTAGCAATTGTATGTAATAATCCTGAGCTTTGTACGGCTCTACCAAGGGCTATACCACCCATAGCAAGTATAATTACAGTCCATAAGAAATTGTTGAAATCCTCCTTGGTGAGAATACCTGATCCAAAGAATAAAACCAATGGTACAATAGCAATAACTCCCATATCACCAAAAAAGGCTTCCAACTTTTTTTCAACGCACCAAAGGAGAATAGTAGTCACAGTCACTATAATTACAAATATTTGTGTTCCAGTCCATGGATCCTTAGACGACCTAATAGGATGAATTATTGAAGAATTTTTCGTTGGCTCATAATTCCAAACAAGTAAGAGCCATGTCAAAAGATCGACTAGGATACACAAAGGAATTGCAATAAAGAACCATTGAATCCACGAAGGTGGAGATCGTTCCATAATACCAATTGCGATAATGTTTTGAGGAGATGAGATGGGGGATGCCATGCCTCCAACGTTCGAAGCTAGGGCAATCCCAAGAATTAAACAACGTCCAAAATTACTATTAGGCGGTAAGTTTCTGAGGATTGGCTATGATAAACATTTGAATCAAAATATCAATTATAGAAAATATATCTTGAGCTCGATGCTTTTTTATACATACTTGAATAAGTGACAGACATAGCACTGGTGCCGCAACGTTGCTTATCCACATACTTGCAAAAGTAGCGACGAACATATTTGCCAAAAGCACAAAACTAGGTTTCGTCCCAGCTTTAGATAACACAAAAGTTGCCATCATTTTTGCTATATGATATTTACTTAAAGCACCCGCAATAGCAAAACCTCCCAAGAGCAACATAATGACTGGTGAAAACATTGCTTGAAATATTTGTTTTGCTGCATCATTTGCACAAAGACGATTATCATGATCGTCACGTAGAACGCGTAAACAAACGACCAATAAAGGAACCGCAAGCGAAGTAACAAAGAGTGGTATAACCTATATGGATCGTATGAAAATTGATGATAAGGTTTATGATGTTATGAAATGAACCCAATTAAGTTCACGATTTACCTCAGTTGCCCATAGAAGACTCGCAAATATCAATATTGCAAAGCAATATCTTTGCTCTTCTCTCTTGAAAAAAGAAGCATCCAGTAGGAATACAAACACTCCAACGCATATTGATAAAATGATCGCATTCTTCCAGAAAGTGCCAGACACATTTAGATTACCGAAAGGTGTTGTGATTTTGGAAGTCACTTCAAGTGAATGATCTACAGTAACCGGAGCCTTTATGCCTACGGCATGTGATTTTCTTTCTAAACCAATAATATCTCTCCATATAGTATTCCTTTCCCAAACTATGAATTCTCTCAAATGAGTTTTAAGCTCTCTAATAGCAATATCCATATTAGCATTTGTACATAAATTGGCATAAATTTCTTGGACTTTCAAAATCTTTTCTTCGAGTCTTTGACGAGTTGGATGCCTAAATGGATAAGATTCATTCACGACATTGTTAAGATAAGATGATTTGAGTCTACTATTAGTTATTTTGTCGTATTTTTTCAAAATTTTTGAAAAACCTGTATAATTGAGAGAAACAAATGATTTAAGTTCAGATAACCAAACGAAAAGTTCAATGGTTCGTTTCTTTAATCGTATTTTCTGATTGTCAAGTGATGAAGGAGTCCACAAGTAAGAAAGCCGGTTATCCGAAAAATCAACTTCGGTTGATACTCTTGATCCGCCTGTTGGATGCGAGAAATGATTTTCAGCTTCATCATCATCACTACTCATGAATGACACAGCAGCATCAGAAGTAGACCTAGTTCTCCTGCTAGAAACTCTTTTACGAGAGTTTGAACCTTCACCAGACTGATTAGACCTACTTAAATTGAAGGCATTACTGTGGATGCTTACATTATCTTCAAGATTTTCAAATACAGCGTAATCCGCAATTAATATTTCAACCTCTTCAAGAAATTCTTTTTCTTTACTTAAATAAAAGGAATTGATTTTTGCGAGTTCTTTATCAAGTGCAGGGATAAATATTGCGTTTGCACGAGTTTTAGCATCTAATAAAGGAGACTCCTCAGAATCTGAAGCAATCAACGTATCACCAGCAGCAATAATAGAGCATGCGACTATGTCTCTCTCGATTTGATAAATAAGTTTCTTGAGATTTGAGTATCTGTTTGTTTTAACGAGTTGTTAAGAAATAAAATTAAAAGGTGTAACGTTTATATATATAAAAAAAAATTTATTTCAAAAGGATACGCAAGGTAATGGTCAGCCCAGTCAGGGACCGAGTTGAATTGAATTGAGTGCGAAAACTTCATGTCTGCAGGTCAAATCAAAAAATCCCCAATAAAAAAAAAATAGCTCCCAAAATATTTTAGTTGGGTTTATATGGTAAAAAAGATTTGAAAGGAGGAAACTTGATGAAGAACATGATTAATCTACTTGTGGTAAAATCTGTCTCCTGATCTACTCAATGATCGAGCTCTATTTTTGCATGTTTTCAAATGTAAATGTATAAAAACTTGAAAAAATCATATAAGGAAAAAATGAGTATAATAAATATTGACTCAACAAAGAATTTTGACGTAAAAAGATGTCCAATTAAAACTTCACGTGGAAAAAATGATAATCAGTTCAACATGTTTTATATTGCTTATATAATCTATCACGAGGACAATTCGTTAACTATTTTTATTCATCCTACCATAAAGAGTTCGTTTTTAAGAGATATTTCACTATAAAAGAAATTCATTAAATGGAGGTTTACCATTTATAATAAAATCATTAAAATTAAATTACTTTTTAGGTTTGGCGTTGTGTATTATATTAATTATTAATATTGCAACTTAAATTCGTAACACAATGTATTTTTTGTTAGCATCTTTAATTTTGGTTGGAATTATTCTGATCTTGTGATTTTGTGGCAATCAAAAAAATTCAGCCAAGAATTAGCCACCTGACTTTTTAATGACAAAACATGATGACAGTAGTACAGAGTACATATATAAAAATGTCATAAAATTTGGTTTTTGGCGTAATACTTCAAAGTTATTTTAGAAGAAATGAGACGCATATTTATTTTTATAGTTTCTTTATGTATTCTACGTACACTTGGTCAATTGATTGAACCAAAATACTTTTATAGGAGTATGAATAGTGATGAAAGAAAAAAATTAAATATGCAAGATAATGAAGAAAGTATTTTAACTGGACCTCCGACTTTAGATGATATATTACCCATAGAAAGAGATCTAACAGTTTTCGTCGATTTCTTGAAAGCGTCTAAAGAACTGGTAAGAAAGAAATTCTTAAATGAATAGTCTTTTTTTTTAAAGAAAAATGAAGACCAACTTTTTTTGTAATTTAAAGTCTAATATCATCGCGAATCCAGATTTATCCCTCACACTCTTCGCACCTACCAATTCAGTTTTTCGTAATTTAACTCATAAACCAAGTCATGTTACGAATCAGTCGGAAGATCCAATAGAAAAAGTACAAAAATTCGCTTTAAGATATGTTGTTCCATCAGTTTATTCATCTTTTTCGGATGGTGAACTGTTGGATACCTTGAAAGAAGGTTCAAAAATTAAAGTGGAAAAGAATGAGGACGGTTCTTACAAATTAAATGGAAGGATAAATACGATTTCAAGATTGGAAGCAGAAAATGGAGTAGTTTACAAGATTGATGGAATTTTAGAAGAGGAATAATTCAAAACAATTTATTATATTCTTTCGATGCTAGTTTATTAGTGAATTTTCTAATATCAATATCTTTAATTTAATATCATACCGAAATATAACGCATCATGTAAAATTTATAAAATATTATTAAAGTATGTAATAATTATAAAAAATGAAACGAGAGTTGAAGTAATCGCATTTTTTAATGTATCGGTATTTTCAAAATTAAAGTGTGATAAAATTGGCTATGTGGTAAGCAAATATCGCAGGTAATATTGCAAAATAATTCTTTTATCCTATAAATTGTCTGTCTTTATTTAACAGTTTAGCTTTATCGAAAGAAAATAATCAACTTTTCAACACACGATCACAAGATATCAAAAGATGGACATGATGATTGGTTGGCGCGCATCAAAAAATCGATTATAATTTTTGCTTCGTTAGTATTATTAGTATGGGGATTTGTTATCTCTTGTTTGCATATTTTTAACCCCCCTTTTTTATAGATTTACCGAAATGACTTGCTGCAAACTTCTCACATTAAGTTTGAAGGAAAGGCGTAAAATTATCTAGTATAGAAAAATGGAATTTTTGTATATTCGATGACCATTTCTTTATACACGCGAAGATGATTTCTTCCTATAATTGAGGCCAAGTTTCCTTTTGACGATGAGCCAGTAGAAGTGTATGTAGTAAAAAAGCTCTAAAGCACGTATATATTATAAATTGAATTTACATAAACCCAAATTTAAGTTTAAAAATTAAGAGTTGTTTCGTGCATTTCAACAAGGATTATGATGTACGAGGAAGTTGGTTAATCAGAGAGAGTATTACAACATCGTCGTGATTTTAATACGCGGAAAAAAAATAAAGAAAATTATGATGACAATTATACAAAATTTGATATTTTAATGTCTCTCGATAAAATAATTGTTATACTTAAAGAGCTTCTGATGAACGTCGACGAGTGAATCAAACGTTTAAAAAAAATTTCTTATTGATAATGAAATTAGTGATCCAATTACATAAATAATACAACCATTTATTGTTATTGTAATAGATGGCTGCTTCAGTTTGGACTTTTGATGCTATCCAAGATTTAATACATCTTCGATGAAAACAAACCTTGAAATTGCCAGCAATGTTGAACATGCTGGCATTTGGAATAAGAAATTAATATAATTCTATCCAAGATTAGGACATTATGTCTGGACAAAATAACCTAGGACTAGAGAAAAAAAAATTAAAAAGCTAAATTAAAGATTTGGATAAAACATCTTGATAAATAAAGGTTTCTAACGAATTGAAATAGCTTAATAGCAACTTTATTTATTTTTATTTATAGCATTAATTTTATTTTAGTATAACTTTTCTAAAAATGAATTAATTGGCATTCATTGAAATCGAAACATAGCAGAATCATGTAACTTTCACCTAGAGTTTTATGTGACAATCCTATTTGTCATCACTATATGTCACGCGTTAATTTTGACCAGAACTTTTATTTTTGGAAAACTAATTACATTTGCAACAAAGCCAAGATAATTAATTTTTTTGTGAAAAATATAGGTAACTTTCAAGAATCAATCACAAGACATTATTCAATATATGCATGATATTCTTTACCAATTTCCATACGGAAAGGTATTTTAAAATGGTTAAAGTAATACAAAATTTCTTATTTACTAATGAATCACCAATTATAAATAGTTACTTCTTAATTTAATAAGTTGGAGTCCCAAAATCGGACATTTAGATAGATTTTGAACATCTTTCCAAATTTAACAATACCTCTCCATTGTAAAATGAATGAATTTGGTACGTAAATATTTACATTAATATAATTACTAACAAATCCATTTTAGTATTTCTATTCATTCTATTTTGTAATAAAATTAGAAAAAAAAAAATAATATTTGTTAAAAAAAAAAAAAAATTTTCTAAGAGTGAGTTTTGATAACACCAAAAGGCATATTATTCGCTTTAATTTTTTAGATAATGGCCATCAAGCAACAATACTAAAAAAAATTACAATCCGCAAATGTCGATATATCGCTGATCGACTAGTTTCAAAATTTTTTTGAAACTGGATATTCAGTATATGCATGTTTCAATATTATTTATCATCAAATAGCAAAATACGATGGAATATTTAGCTTTTAATAAAATTATTATTATTATTATTATTATTTTATAATATGATTAATAAATCTCTTGACTAAACTGGACTGAACTAGTTTCAGTTTTCGCCAGAAATTTATTTTGTAAATACAGTAACTTAATTTTTAAGATTTCACTTTTAATTTTTAATTTTTTTCTTTAAATTGAGTTCCCGTTGATGAGAAACATTTTCTTATTTATAGATCAAAGAAACTGCTGACACTTCATGTTATCTTCGACCACACCGACATGTACAATCTCTTTTTATTGTCAAAGACGTGAACTTTACAATTGGTACAATCCGAGAATATTTCTTGCTTTCCACATCCGAAATATCCTTTCAAAGAAAGAGTATGCTAAAATTGCTTACAAAAGCTGAAATTATGAATGAAATGAAAGAAAGATCATATATTCTGATCATGTAATTTTTGATTTGATTAGTTTATACGATGAAGTACGAATCGTAACCTGAAAAGCAAATAAATAATCTAAACAAATTACGAAGACTAAGCTAAGCTACTTGAACCTGAAATATAGATTTTCGGGATAAAATAAAATAAAAAGCTCACGATAAATTTTGAAAAAGGCAATATCGGTTATTTGATTCAAATTAAATTAACTATTAATAGAATCAGCCATTTAATTAATAATGTTAATCATTACCTTTTATAATTCCCTCATGTTGTAAAAGGTCAAATTTTGTTTCATTTCAAAAAACTAGTATTTTTCAAAGATTATCATTCTTTTTTGGGGAATTTGTAGAATATGTGGTTATTATTATTATTATTGAACACTGCCTATCAAATTAAATCTCGGAATTTTACAAAAATCCGATACAATCAATCGCCATCATAAATTTCAAAAAATTCTTTGGACGTAAAAGAAATCCAAAGAACCTAACTACTGTATAACCTAATTAGAAATGTTTGGAGAACTGCTTAACGGCGTAAGCAAGTTTTTTTATTATTATTATTATGATTGGTTTTAATATATAAAGAAAACAAAAAAAAAACTAGTACAACGTCCCAATTTTATATCTTTGTACACCATCAAATCTAACATTAAGCGATTTTGGGTAGAATTATAAAAATAACGTCACGCGCATGTGGAAAAAAGAATTAACATCGATTATTTTTGTTAATTTATTAAGGTGCAACAAATAATATTATGTTGCATAGTACGACAAAGTAGATATTTTACTAACGGAGAAACCTAAGCTTTCAAAAAGTTTCACTTTTCTTATATTTTATTATTCAACCAGTACAAAAAAAAAAAAAAAAAAAAAAGAGCTTTTAATTAAATAATATCCTCTCTTTTTCCTTACCTTTTTCCCCCATTATTGTACATTCCATATAATGGCGTCAACACGACGCATCTCGAAATATCTTTTACTCCTACTTATCGGTTTATTCCTTGTGAGTATTGCTTTTCCTATCGCAAATGCACAAGAACCAAAAGTACCGGACGATGCAAAAACTCCAGAGGCTCCACCCAAAGAACCAGAGAAACCAGAACAGCCCAAAGACGCTCCTAAGGACGCTCCAAAAGACGACACTCCTAAAGACCCTCCTCCACCTGTAAGATTTTACTTTATTTTGTATTTAAAAAATTTTTTTTATCTATTTATTCTTACAAAAAACATTTTGAAGAAACTTAATTTTAATTAAAGCGAACTGTGTAATCGTAGTTATTTGAATAGTATATTAAACATTTAGAATGAAAAATTCATTGATATAATATAGGACATTTATTTACGAATTCTCCATTTATTCTTATAATTTACTGTAAGAAAAAATTTGGATAGAAATTTTTTTTATATCATACATAAATTTAAATTTGATAACGGAAATTAATATAACATATTCAGGTTGAGAATTATAGTTAATTAAATTTTCATTTCTACATTGATAAAGGAACAGCCAAAGGAACAACCAAAGGAACCAAAAGAACCAAAAGAACCACCAAAGGAACCACCAAAGGGACAGCCTGACCCTGACCCTGACCCTCAACCTCAACCACAACCACAACCACAACCTCAACCTCAACCTCAACCTCAACCTCAACCTCAACCTCAACCTCAACCAAAAGATCCTAAAAATCCACCAAAGAATGACGACGACCCAGAACCACAACCTAAAAATGATCCCAAAGATAATCCTAAACAGCCACCACAACAGCCAAAGCAACCTAACCCCATAACAATTACATCATTAACTACAGTTTCTGGTGGTACTGCTACCGGACCACCAATTCCAAAAAAAGCAAAAGGTGCTAATCAGAATACAGAATCAAGTGATTCAGGTGGTAATGTTATTACTGCCGCCATTGTTGTGGCTACCGTTGTTGTTTGTGCAGCAATAGGTATTTGGATATTTAGAAAATGGAAACTTACGGTAGATAAAATAATTTTTTAATTGCATAAAGTTGAAAGAAATCTTGCAAAAATTATTAATAACGTTTAATTTTATTTCATTAGCCTTCGAGGAATTTCAAAGAGAAAATTCAACCAGTTAATTTTGCTCCACGGACGCATGAATCAGATACAGTATTTTTGCGTGAATTAAATGAACCGTGAAAATGGATTGTAATTTGGTAATTAATTTAGTTTACATAAAAATTAATAATTATATTTATTCATTAATTTTTTTTTTTTAATTAACATCATTATTTAAATATATTATATTATTCGCACGCAAACCCTAAATCATTTTATATATATATATACATGTAGAATTACTTATTTAATCATAGACGAGATTTTTTTTTTCCCTGAAAAAAAAAAAAATTGTATTTTTGTCGGGGGTTTTTTTTTCTCGTTTTTTTTTTCCTGATCCTTTGTACTTTTGCTTTTTCTTGTGAAACCTTTAACTTTTATATACATTTATATATCGGCCTATTTTTAATAACAAATTATGTAGTCTATGTTAGTTACATACATACATAAAAACATTGAAAAATTAATGTAGGTTTTATATATAAAAAGAAAGTATTTATTTTTTTTGTTTTAAAGGATAATTTACTCTTTATTGTACAATTCCATAAAAAAAAAAAAAGCATTTTTTATTTTTTGAAAAAAGAAAAATACTTTTTTTTTTATTTTTTTGAAAAAAAAATTATTTATACACAACTATAATGTCCCCTTTTTTTTAATTAATTTTTTAATTTTTAAAAAATTGTGACGGGGTAATTTTAGTAATTCATCGGTAAATGAAGTTAAATATTTAAATATAAAGGAATTCAAGGAAATATAATATCTATCAGTATATACTTATTTATAGAGATAGGTTAAACTATACTTACAAGCTTATAAAGGAGTAATCATAAAAAAAAAAGTATTCTCATTGAGAAAAGTTTTTTTTTATTATATTTTTTTTTATTATTTTATTATTTTTAATTATTATAGTAATTTTTTTTTTCTTTACACATAAAATAATATATTTATCTGTCATTTATTTTCATCATTTTTTGTTTGGTTATTATCCTAAATTTCGGTTTCTAATGATTTGGGATCAGATTTTAAATATGGGTATGGGTGGTAGGTGTAATGATAGTTTAAAAAGAGATTTATTGCATTTTTATAAAACAAGAAACTTTTTTTTTTGGGCTGGAATTCTAACCAAAAAAAAAATAAGGAATAATGAATAAATATACGTATAATATTTATCAGTTGTTTTTAATTTTTTATTAGTATATATTAATCTATAATAAAATTAGTACATTAATTATAATTATTATTATTATTATTAAGTAAAGTTTGCTTATTGACGGCCCCACCCTTGCCCTCTGATATTTCGTGATGGTGTAAAGATAGGTAATGGATGTGCTTCGGTATTAAATACATATTTATCAAGTGGAATTTGATCATTTGAACCAAACAACAAATAAAGATACTTTAAAGTCTCGGCCTAACGAAACGAAACTCATTAGCGATTTTTTAAAAAAAGAAAAGCACAGGTAAGACTAACCAGCCAGAATGTTTCCATTTTATCTCTTCTACCAGGCGGAATAGACGTAACGTCGTTAAGTGATGTGTAACCACCATCTTCAAACTTTGCATATTTCTCAAAAGCTTCAAATATTTTCCACCCCCATTCACTGTAGAAATCAAGTAAATCAAGTAATATGAATGAATTTGTCAAATTGACGCGTTTTTTTTATTTTTTTTTTAAAAAAAAGTAACACTTACCGATATTGAACATCGCCCGTTAATCTCCATAGTATAAATAGACTTTCAACTGTTTCGGGTCTAAGCAAATTATGACTTTCTAATCGTTTTATATGTATATCTTTTGCTTTGTTTGATGAATCCGATAAACTTGTGAAATATGCAATTTCTGGCGCCAATCCTGTTGCCGTACGGAAATACATTTCTGCACAAGTCCTTGTCAGTTCTTTTCCTATCCTCAAATCCTCCAATTCTTTAAAACTCAGATGTTCCATTTCACGTATAGATTTTCCAAGTGTAACTCCTAATGCCAAGTTACCACCCATAAAACACACTAAATGATCCATCTTTGCATTTATACTATCATTAAAGCCTAAAAGTTCTCCGATATACAAAAGTTTTGATGGAGATGAATAATCAACGAGATGCATCTTTACACCGTCTATCGATTGATCGTACATCCTTCGATATATAGGTTCATTTTGGGATGTCTGCAGATATTGTTTCAGAAGATATTCTTTATGATAGAAAGAAAAAAAGTAATAATTTTTTTAATGAATGTCTATTAAACAAAATGATTATAACAAACCATAATATCAAATACCATAATAACTATCACCACGAGCACCCAATGTAATGGTTTCCCCGACGAACTTTCCATCATCTGGGCTATTAATGTATTATAATTTAATGTTAATTTTTTTTTAAAAAAAAAAAATGATACATGTACACAAGTATATATTGCATACTTTATTAGTATTGGGGCCAACCCATCAATCTTTTCAAGTGAATCGATTACAAACATAACATCTTCGGCCTTGTTCCAATATTCCTTATTATCAGTAAGATGGCTTAGATATTTAAGTTCCAATTGCAATGTCGCAGCTTCAGATGTTGAACTGAAACCTCCAGAGTAATGTGATACAAAGCCTTTCCGCAGAGCCAAATTAACATATGCATATGGAATTCCTGATGAAGAAGCAAAGGCACCTAGAAGACGATCCCCCAAATCAATTGCTTTGGATAAAAATAATGTATCATTACCAGATAAATGGTATGCACTTAACAATCCTCCAAGAACACGAATAGTTGTTTCAAAAACATTTACATTGTGATTTTGATCAAAATCCAAGCTATTTGCAACCCATTCACGAGCACGTTGATAATCGTCGTTTAGACCCATTATCAAAAGTGTATCTATTGAATCAACAATTGTAAAACCTATTCCAATTTTAGTAAGGTTTGACCCTCTATGTGAAATTGGATGATACTCATCACATCCCCATGCGTCACGAACATAACCATCCCAAGAGTGCTTGAATGCTTTTCGAACTGCATTTTGACGTTCTTTCCAATTAACATGAACTACTGAAGTATGTGCTGGAGACTGATTTGGTGTTTCTATAGGTGGCTGTACAATTTTATCAAAAGAATCTTTATCAAAAATTGGCTCTTCATATGAAGTCAAACCAGCGTTCCATTGATTATAAGTTACAAATAATAATAATATACATAAAACGGCTAATACTACTCGAAACCACGTCAAACGCAAATATCGTTTCTAATTATTAAAAAAAAGAGGTGAAAGTTTACTCTTTTTTCTTTCTAGAAAGAGCGTAATATATTAAAAAGTTGGCTTTTTTACCATACAAGAAATTCGTACTTTCGAAGCTTTAGCGTTGTCATAATCTGTAAATAAGAAAACGATAAATATAACATGCGAATTGAATTTATTAGTAAATCTGCAATTTTATTTACCATCCCGGGACATGGGTAACATTTCTTCAAAAAATAAAATATAATAAACTAGGTAAATGATTGATGTAATTCAACTATTATATCATTTGTTAATTTTTTAATTCCATACTAACTTTAAATGGAAATATAACAACCAAAAAGAACTTTTATAGGTGTTTCAAAAAATTTTGTATATCGTAAAGCAAACAACAAAATGGAGAAAAGCAATATTAGATCAAAACGTTCTATGAACATTAAGACGTCAATAAAGTTTGACAACAAGGATCTTGACGAGTACAAACGCGACGTTGAACAATCGGTTACTCGTCGTTTGTATAGTCCACAGGTTGAAAGTTTGGCAAGGAATAGGCCTAGTTTAACCAAAGACGATTTTGTACCTCGTGAAGGTCAAGTTTCAAACGGCAAACTGTATGATCCTTATACTGACCAAATGATTAACAGCTGGCAAGAGACGAGTTTTGGACAACAATTTCGACGAGCAGAAAACTATGAAATGAATTCTCGCAGTTTTAGCAAGCATTCACGTGCAAATAGTGCTAATGAATCACTTATGACCAAAACAAACGATTCGAATCGCCGTAAAGACGTAACACTTAAAGAAGTTACGAATCCTAATTTGGAAGCCTTAACGTTACTCACAAAAGAACTTGTTCAACTGGAAAAAAAGGTTTCTGAAGCTTCTGATCAATTTTCCAAGGGTATGAATGGTGACAACAGCGATTCAATCATTAATATTTATGATGAAAATTTCTGGCAAGAAAAAATCTCACTACACTTATCGTAGGTTTCGGCTTTTTTTTATTTTGACATTAAACATCTTTTATTTTTTTAAACACTTATGTTTAATAATTTGTTTTACAGATTGGCTAACAAGTATTTCGAGTATATTCATCTTAACTATCCATGTTCTGTCAAAAAAGACATTGAAACGAAATGTTGGAAACACGGATTCTATTTATTGATCGAGCAATTCCGCCAAGCAATTACTCTTAATAAACATCGATCTAAAAATAGGTCATCTTTATCATTTGTTACTTTGAATAAATTCAATATGTTTCTGAATGAAGCGGAATTGTTTTATAAACGATTACTAAAACAGATTGCCAACGACACAAAATTGAGTAAATCGATCGAGAAAAACAAACCTCCAAGGTGGATACGTTGTGTTAGTTGTTTAGGGGACATTACTCGATATCGATGGAATTATGGTATAGAAGATCAAGAGAAGGCCAAAGAGTTTTGGGCCAAGAGTGCTTCCCGTTGGTATCGTTTGGGAATTCACCTCAATTCGAACAATGGTAAAAATTAACGATTCAGCATTATTGCCTGCTTAAGGTATAATTATTGTTTTTATTTTTATTTAATTTTATTTTAATTATTTAGGAAAATTTTATAATCATTTGGCCATATTGGCAGGTCAAGACGAACTCAGAACACTTTATTATTATTGTCGAAGGTATATAAAGTGCAAATGACATTGTTTTTTCTCTTTGGATGTAAAGAATAATAATAACTTAAAAGCTTCTATTCAAGCCTTATGGTTAATACTCCTTTCATGAATGCTCGTGAATCTCTCGTCGCGTTGTTTGAAGCCAATCGACAACTTGTAGTAAGCAACGTGAAGCAGAAGCCAAAAGGAAAACGTGGATATTTGCAGAAAGACAACTTGAAGACTAGGAATTATTTGGATAACCAATCTTGTGAGAATATATTTGTTCGACTTCATGGAATGCTTTTCACAAAGATTGGACTTGAGAGTTTTGATGAAAACTTTCAAATTTTCTTGGATAAATTGTTCAAAATGAGTGTTGATATTCAAGACACAGACAGTACCAATTGTTGTTGGATGAAATTTTATTTGTTTCTAGCAGTCATTAATTTATCAAGCTTATACAATTATGGCAATAATGAAAAGTCTACCATTGGTCAAGCTATCAAGTTGCAAATAAAAAAAGAGGATGACATGGAACCTTTAGATATCGATCCAGCCTTTGCTCAAGAATCTAGGATTACTTTTATTATTATGAATCAATTTATGTCAAAGTATCTTGAGTTTGAAAATTTTCAAGATGAACCTGAAGTTACTGAAGGGTGGCTTTTGTATTGTGAGATAATCTTGCTTTGGATGGTAGCAAGCGGAATATTCAATAGTCTTACTGATGCAAGCAATAATAGTGTTTGGAGAAGTGTAATAAGAAAGCTCATCTTTCCTGGAACTTGGGGAATTCTTGCACGTTTTATTACAAAGATCATACATCAAATACCTCCTTTAATCAAAGAAAAAATATTAGATTCCGTAAACTGTGACCCCGAACAAAAGTTCATTCAGATTCAACCTCCACCATTAACTGAAGATTGGGAATTGCGTGGAATTTCATTGTTGCAATCTATTTACCAACACAATCTATTTGAAAGCGCAAGTAAACTTAATATCAACTTTGTTGACTCAGACGTGGATGATATCATAAATATCCCTAATGTTGAAAATAACTTTAGTTTGGATCAAGATGAAAAGATACGCAGAAGAGTTAGAATAATGGAATTGGGGTGCATATTAACTAAGGTATGTTTTTCATATATATTGTCCCCACTTTTTTGATGATAAGGTCGTAATTATTAGATGAATTTTTATAGAAAGTTAACGGATTCGATTTTGATATAAAAGAAGATTTATTCACTGCATCTTCCGAATTAAATAAAAATATGGAATCTGAAGATGACGATATATTACATCAAACTTCAGAGTTATCTATTGATGAAGATGAGAATGATATATTAAGAACTACGGAATCTACCTTCGAAGAATACAGTGAAGACGACGATGAAGGAATAATGGAATTAAAAGTATGCAAACTTCTATATACTAAATAATATAATTCATATTTTTGTATTTTGACATTCATGAAAATTTTCATGTTAGTCTCGTCGTCAAGAATTAGAGACACTTTTAGCCGTAAGTCGTAATGATGTACATAATTATAAATCAGCGAAATTCTCGTCAAAAAAATATAGGAAGGTTAAAAGAACATTCTCAGAGAAAAAGGAATCATCCGTTCTCTGCAGAGTTGCTCCTGGATATACAAAAATTGTCGTCGATACTAACTATCTTATCGGAGATCTTGAAATGGTCAAAAAACTTATTAAAAGTGAAAAATGGATTATTGTTGTGCCTTTAGTTGGTATGTATAGTGATCAATCTACATTATTTTAGTTTCCTTAATTTTTATTTAAACAAGCTGCTCATTTAATATTTATTAGTTATTACTGAGTTGGATGGATTAAAACTTAATCCTTCACCCCTCGGACATGCTGCATCTGAAGCACTCATATACCTCAATGAAATCATTTATAAGTCTAAGAAAATTAAAATACAAACGAGCAAGGGTAATTATTTACCTAGTATTAATTTTAGCGAGGAATTTGATTTCGGTGATGGTGAAGACAAGAAGAAAAATTTGGACGACCTTATTTTGGGCATTTGTTTATGGCATGCAAAGCATCACGAAAATCATGGTACTCGCGATAAATCCAATGAAGAAAGAAATAAAGATCATAAAAATGAAGTGGTTGTGTTGCTTACAAATGATCGCAACCTCAGAGTAAAAGCTCGTGCTAGGGGTGTTGATGTTGTAGGCGTGAATGATTTCACTGGACTTATTTGATAATATAAGGAAGAGCCGGTATATATATATATTTTTTTTACTCAATTGCGGTTGTGTTCTTTTTTTGTTCAAGAATCTTTAGCATTCGATTGTGAGTTCGGTAAGTTATTTGAATTAATTTTTTTTCAAACGATTGATTTAAAGTCATTATTTTGAACAAATGGGGCCTTTGCAATAGAAAGGGAAGAAAATTAAAAAATGAGTTAATGCTAAATTTGAACATATTTCAGCCTAAAAATCATTTTTGACAAAGTAAAATTGATTTTTTCCGGCAGTTTCCCCTCTTTCTTTTGCAAAGACCCCAAATTTATAATCGGAATCCTTATATTCTTATTATATTTTAGGTTGTGATTTTTTTTATCACTGCAATGAAATCTTTGATTATGAGATGAGTTCAGCGTCGAGGGTTGGAGATTGTAATATTCTCATATTACCAAAAATTACTCACCTAGTTCAGAGATTTTAAATAACTCACGCAAGATTGTCACAATTCTTGAATATTGATTCTAGCCGTTCAATATAGAAAAGAGAACATTCGATGGTTTATTGTAATTGTATTGATTATCTTGATTGTAATTCGTTATGTTCGATATAAAAATTTTTTTTTTTCCAGTTCTATTGCTCTAAATATTTACAATCTTTCTTCTTTATTGAATAAAAATTAAGTTTATTTTCATAAATTACGATTTAATTTTAAGTGAATAAAATAAATCATCATCAACTCGTGATTTTTTGACCTAAATTGTATCATCACATGATTTATCATCCACTTGATTTTGACCGGCATTACGGCATTAAGAAATTAACCTTATGAAAAATAATCAAATAGCAAGTATTATAACAAAAAAAAGAAAGTAGTGATATGCTTATAAAAAACTGCTTATAGTAAATCATACTGAACATTATAGAAGCAAACATTTAGCAGCAAAAAGGTTTGAAGTAGAAACAAAATAAATCTGTTATTAAATGAATCAAAATTTTCAACTTAAAAGTGTTTCATAATATATACAAAAGTTATATAAAAATAAAAGTGTAACACTTTCACAACTTGAAAAAATCTTTTATATAGATATCTGATTTATATAAAGATGCAAAAGTTATTATACAAAATATGGTGATTAAAAAAACAAAGTTAGTTGCTAAAGAAAAAATAAGTAGATTTATATTCAATTATTATATAATTTAAATTTTCTGAAGTATGATTAGAAGGGTTTATGAAAAGGTATAATCTTGTTACAAGAAGAAGAACACATATTATATAAACATCTTCTAATGATCTTTTAATGAAACAACAAAAAATTTTTTTGTTTTATTTTATATAGACGAATCTAACATGATTATTTATTAAAATATATTAGTAATATTGATAAAATACCTGTTATATTTGATTTATCTTATTCAATTACTTTAGATCATTATGACATTTTAATCATTAATATATGTATGAACTACAAGTTATAAATGACTGATGACACAAAATTACTAGCAGTTTGTATTATTAAGCTTAAAAATATACTAAGAGAATCATTTCCTTAAGGAATTCATATTCATATAAATAAAAAAGAATGATGTAATGAACAAAAAATACTCTAGTAGATTGAGAATGTATGGACTTAAAGAAATGTATTTAATAACCTAAGATCTTTTTTAGTTTTAGATTCTTTTCATAAGTATCTTAAAAATGGATTTATTAAGAAGCAAACTAATATTATAGTCATTCCTAACGGTCTTACAAATAAATTATAATCTTTAAACATTACTTTAAAGCAAAGTTAAGATATATTATAATAAATAGATAAATTTTAAAATTAATATTTGCTAGAAAGATTAAATGACCTTCTTATACTATTATAACTAAATAGATAAAAAATCATTTAAGATGAGCTTAACAATATGTTTCTGTCATATGGGTTTACAAAGAGGAATACAAGCATTAATTCCAATTTTTTTGAGGTTACAACATATAGTTTTATCAGAAATAGGTTGATTATATATATAAGCTATCAAAACAATTACCATTTTCTTAAACAAAAACTTTAAGTTCATAATTTTATAAAGCTTTAACTAAAAATGGAAAGGTTAAAAAGTTTTGTATATTTGTTTATTATAAATAAATAAAAAATCATATGATATTTATATCACATGATCATATATGCCTTTGCAATATAAAGCCGGAAAAAATTATATATGCCCAAATATGATTTTTAGGCTAAAATATGTTCATTAACTCACTTTTGATTTTTCCGGCATTCTATTCAAAGGCCCATATGATGTTCTGTCTAAATTTGGCAATAAAAAATTGTCCGCTATATACAGTTAATACAGTTAAGCATTAGTTTACATGCAGTTACTACGCATTAAGACAATCGCACAATACATATTTACAAACTTATAAAAAATATATTATCTATGTTATTAAACATATAGTACATAACTAGGGAACGGGATCCGTTCAAAGTCCGAAGCATGGTATGGTATATAAATTATAATATCATATTTCACAAGATTAATTATTTTGTAACACAAAAGACATAACACATGATAACGTAAACAAAATGTCATTGGTTATCAGGCTTGCCAAATTTGGACGGACAGTGTCCTCCGCTATGCTTCGGACAATAATCATTAAACATTTAAATGTATAGACAACAGTAGGGATTAGAAAACCAAAATCGAAAGTCGAATTGGCAAAAATCAATTTTTGAAACGCTGCAAATCAGTATTAATTTTTCAATTTTTTAAGTATAGAATAGTTATAAAAACTTTTAAAAAAAAAATATTTAAGCAAAATTTGTATTATAATTTTTATTTATTAGAAAATAAAAGCTAAAGATGTTAAAAACAAATTAATCAAATGTTTTTATGTTTCATAAGTTGTGAGCTGTCATATGACAAATTTTTTTTAAAAATAAATTTAGCTTAACTTTGTTCACTTAAGGATTTGATACACAAAAATGAATCCTTCATCATGTTTTTCATTCGACTTTGTCATTATTTTAAAGCTTCAAGATTTCGTCATTTAGCTTGAAAAGATATCTATCGATTTTGTGTAACCGATTTTTGCCGATTAATCGGACTAATGAAGAGATTCAAAATCGTTATTACAATCGACTTTCGACTTTGGCGATTTAATTATACTTAAAAAATGTTTGTTTCACAGACACTGGCATTAATCATTTACTTAATCCCGATTATTAACCAGTGGTCCTATTATTAACAATACTGGGGCTGTCTGATTCGGTTCGTCAGTCCCTGATCTACAGCTTTTTTTTTTTACTAATATCATTACAGCCCTCTGAATCAAGAAAGTATAAATGAAGACATGAGCAAGCGATTTCTTTGATAATCACATCGGATTATTACATTGAAAATTCGGGTCTTAAGAAACGAACACAAGAAAGTGCTTCCTTTATTAATAATATTACGTAATTAATATAATATGAGAAAAAATAGGTATATAACTTTAAAATGCTTAACAATTTTGCAAAAATACAAATGGGAATTATTAATTAAAAAAAGAAAATTGAAATTGAAATGACAGCAGAAATTTCAAATAATTTTGTAAAAGCAGTATTTAAGTTCAAGATCACTAAATTTCCATATATCTACAGAACCATGTATATTAAGACAAGCGTTTCCATTGTATGGACCACGTTTTTTATCTTCTTCCCAACTACCAACAACATGCGCAAAAACAAAGTATGTGGTTGTGCCTGCCGGTAATGTAAAATTGAAATCGTCACCACGACAATAATGGTCTTTTGTATTACCAGCTATGTAATTCAAATTTGAATCTGTCACCCAAATTCGACACCATGTATAATCGGCCAAGTTCCTTTCGACGATAGCAGTGAGACCATCATTTGCTATACACCAAAAAATTAAAAATCAAATTAATTCTTGATTACTTAATAATCGCTATATATGCTCAAGAAGTTTACCTTCAGTAACCGGAACAGATGTTAAGCTATTCATTAAAGCACAAATGATGATGATAAAGGTGAAGGATATAAGAAGTTTCATAGTGGAAAATTCACGTTTTCTTAGTAAGTAATGATAAAAGAGTAGTTGAGAAATATAAAAAAATGAAAATTTTGAAAATTTTATGGCCTTTATAAAATATTTCTTTGCAAATCATATCCGCCGATCTGCAGAATGAGTGCTGGGAAAAAGGACCAAATCGACAAAAATTTTTTTTTTGAAACTGAATCAGAAAATCTACATCTATTTTACTTAGGACTCACCCCATATGATTTTGGCGTGTGGCCTAATGGGTTTTTATATACTAACGTTTTGGCTATTATAATTATAGTTATTTTGAGGATATTTGGCTATTTTCGAATTTTATTTTGTATAGTTTAATTATTTTAGCTAATTTGATAATATTTTTAATTTTAACATTCTGCGAATCGCGATTATAAAATCGTAAATCACATTCAGAATAATGTATTCCCTCTAGTAAAACCATCCGACAACCCTATTTTACACACTATTTCTTTTATTTTTTTTAGAAATGGCTTTCTTACTCCTTTTAACCCCTTCTGAAAATCTGGAATAACACTTTGCTAAGCAGGCACACAGATCATTATCTATGTATCTTTTATGATAATTTTCTAGCCTTAGAGTATATGCCTCTTCGTTAACTGCGACTGTCATTAATATAGTCATTCGGATTCTTTTCAGCTCGCAATTTCTTTAGATAGTTTCCATAGTTTGTGCAAGATTATCATGTTTATTGTCCTTTCGCAATGCAGTTTTTATGACTTTGACTTGCGCTAGTCCTATATCCTTATCAGTGTGTAAAATCTAAACCAAAAATCATGTGCATATGGGTGATATGCTATTAAATCAAGGTACGAGACATAGTAAATCATACGTACTTCAATTTTAATAGCATACCACCCTTATTTATGTGCACAAAATAATTTAATATGCACAGAATTTTTCTAAAAAAACAATTGCATAAAATGTATATAGATCAATGTGCTCAATATCGAATTATAATATTTATTTACAAAAAATCAAAGAATAATTACAAAAAAAAAATTAATTAGTAGTTATTTATAATTATTTTTGATTAAACCTAGGAATCCAATTCCAAAAAGTATATGCTTTTTCATAATCATAATTACTAAAATCTTTAGAACCATTTAAAGAAAGAAGTAAATGAAAATTTAATGTCTGAATTGATATTTTGTTATGCAAATTTGTCTTAATTAAATTTTGATGTGAAAATACATGTTCAACAATACCATTTGATAATAAAATTATTAAAGCTAATTCAATAAGTTTTTTTAAATTGGGAAATAGATCATGAAAACAAATAATATTATTAAAAATACAATCACTAGTCAAAATCATTTCTTTCAGCACTAATACCTTTTGGTAAACATTTAGCTGATTCAGTCATGTGATTTGGCAAAATTTCAGCTTGAGTTATAAAAATTGATAGCTATTTATTACATCACACATAATTTAGCATTATTTTAACACTAATACCTTTCAGTTATAATATTCAGCAAAATTTCAGTTAGACTCAAGATTTGGCAACAAATCAATTATATCATACTAGTCAAAATCAGTTAACCCAATTTTTGCGAAAATTATAAAAATATTTTAAGAGTAATTATCCTAAAGAGAAAATAGAAATCATTCCCAAAGGAATGAAAGAATCATTCCAAAAGAACTAAACAATCATTCTCAAAGAAACAATAAAAATCGTTCCTAAAGAAGTAATGCATCATCATTTTAAAAAACAATTTTTGACATATTCTATTGAAATGATTGGAATGATATATTATCATTCTAAAAGAATATTTTTTTCATTGTTCTTTGAAATAATATCATTATTTTTTCAATAAAATGATATTTTATTCAATGTCATTATCGTTTTGAAAGAATGATTTTATTATCATTTTTTTAGAACAATATATTTTCATTTTAAAAAAAAAAATTTTTTATCATTCTTTTAGAATAATATTTTACATTGTTCTATTAGAACAATATATTATCATTCTGAAAGAATAATATTATTTTTGTTATAATTTTTTCAGAACAATATTTTATATTATTCTTTTAAAATAATATATGAAAAGTTTGCTAGGAAAATGTGGCTCTGAGCATTTTTATTAAAATTTTAATATATATTGTATTTTAATCTAACATTATCAAAAATTAAAAATTAAAATTTTAATAAAAATTTCTCAGAGTCACATTTTCCTAACAAACCTCCCATATTATTATTCTGAAAAAATGATGTTATTTTTGTTATTATTCTTTTAGAATGATACATTATCATTTTTTTAGAATAATTTGCAATGAAATGATATAAAATCATCTGTTTAGAATATTTATAATAAATTGTATAAATAATATTTAAATTTTTGATTAGTTTATTTATAATATATAACTGATAAACTTTCAGAATATTTTTAAAAAACATTTTTTTTTTTTTTTTTTTGTAAAAGGATTTTTGAATAGAAATTTAGCTTTTCCTTTCTTTATTCTTAATTTTTAGGAAATTCTTATTTTGGAATTAAGATAAGCAAATCAGAAATGACTTTTAAATGGTTTATAACTTTTTTTTTTTATTTTTTTTATTTTTTAGGAAATTCTTATTTTGGAATTAAAATAAGCAAATCAGAAGTGACTTTTAAATATTTTATAACTTTTTATTTTATTTTTTTTATTTTTTAGAAAAATTCTCTTTTAAACTCAGGTAAGCCTTTCATAGGTGACTTTTAAATGGTTTTTAATTCTTTTTTTCTTTATTTTTCTTTGTTTTTTAAGAAAATTCACTATTTAAAACTAAGGTAAGCCTTTAGAGATGATATTTTAGTGATTTTTTAATTGTTTTCTTTATTTTTTTATTTATTTCTTTAGAAATACATTAAGGTTAGCCTTTTGGAAATAATATGAAACCTTTACAATAAAAAGGAGGAAACTACCAGAAAATCAAAATAAGTTAATGGTAAATTTAAACATAGTTTAACCTAAAATCATATTTGTCATATAAAAAATAACATTATTTTTTTCCAGCAGTTTCCACCTTTTTTATTGAAAAAATCTCATATTTTGGTAGTTTTTTAACTATGATATTTATTTTTTATATATTTTCTTTAGAAATACATTAAGATAAGCTTTCATAAGTGGTATTTTTATTAGTTTTCTAACTATATTCTTTATTTTTTTATTTATTTTCTTTAGGAATACATTAAGATAAACCTTTCAGAAGTGATATCTTAGTAAGTTTTTGATGAATTCAAAGATAAGGTATTTTAAATGATAAACCAATTTATATCCTGTAAGCTAATAAGAAATTTTAGATCCCTACTTCTATTTAAAAAAAGAAATTTTCTAAACAAACGTACAGTAAAAAGTTCTTAAAGAAATTTTGAATGGAAAATTCAATAGATATTATTATGATCAATTCTTTAATATTGCTTAGAAGTTATAAGTAGACAGATAATATAGATAGTAAGTAGAAAGTTTAATTTGTAGTTGAAAAGTGTAAAGTATATATATCAGTTATTTATTTGATATGAAATAACAAATGAGTACTGCCTCAACATCAGCGCTCTATACTATACAAATATTTTAATATAATCAATCTAAACTATTCAATACTTGACTTTTGTCTTTCTTTCTGTTTATCTTCACTAAACTAAAAATCTCAGCTGTATTTATATAAAATAAATGTATAGGTTCATTAATAATGTTAACAAAATAAAATAAAGATAATAAATAAACTAAAAATAATAAATAAACTAAATAAACCAAGTAAAATAAATATAATATGTAAACTAAATAAAATAAATAAATTAACTAAACTAAATAAATAAGATAAACGAGATAAATGATGTTAATAATGCTAATTAATTTTGTGATCTATATTAAGAAGATTACTTAAATGATTTTGTGTAATAATATCATATTATACTGAAAAAGAAGATTGCGAGATCTAATACCAGATAATGAAGGTATAATAACAAGTAATAAATAACTGTTTTTGCTAATGAGTCTGTAATATTATTAAAGATATTTCTATTATAGATATTAATATTAAATTTGTGAAGAATGACATATAGATTTAGTTTGTCAATGATATATCAAACAATATTCTAAATTATATAATTAGAAACTTTTTCAAAGATTTATTTAAAAAATTGTGTGATGGATGTAAAAATTAAATCTATGACTATTTGTATAAATTTAAACTATTGTAAATTAAAAAAAAACTAGAAGTGCAATAATAAGTGTGAATAATTCAGCTTAGGTAAACAAAAATCAATTTTTAACAGAAGTTCAAACTTGTGTTATAAAGAATTTTATCAATACAAATTCATCCAATACCTATTTTAAAATCTTCAGATAATGAGACCATTAAGGATCTATCAGTATAAAATATAAGAGAATAGTAAAGTAACAGAGCAGATTGTGTAGATATGAGTTTAATTGTATTGAAGAAGAGGGTAGCATAGTATTAATGATATTATCAGGTTTATTGAGAGATAAGGAATGAGCATTTAAGTTGTGATACATAAGTTAAGCAACTTGAAAGAATTCAATGAAAAAATATCTAAGTTGATTTTTTGGTTTATTAGTTAGTTTAATAAAAGGTCAATTTTGAACATTTTATTCATTTGAGTTCTAAAAGTACAATCATTGTTTGTTATTTTTAATACAAATTGAGAACAACCTAAGCATTTAGTAATTAAAAACAAGTTCAAAGAAAGATAAATTCAAAATTGAATTCTAAGAAGCAATTTAAGATGTTTATCTATAGAATTATTAAGAATAAGAGATTTTAAATTGATAAAAATTTTTGAATTACCTATTTTTTTATTATCATGAGCAAAATCTCTTAAGAACAAATCTGATTTTTTAATAAGAGCCTATCCAATAATATCAATAAGTTGATCTAAATAAATAAGATTATGATTGTTTAGTACTTTAGAATATTTAATTAATATTGTAGGTAGAAAATCTAATTAATATGATTAATTAGATCATGAGAAAGACAA